ATATTTTAATCAAAATTGGACATTATTTCTATAGCCACTAGTTACTCAAACTTATCAACTAATTTTTTAATTTACTTTTGTGGTCACCATTAATTCTTGTATTTCACTCCTTTGTTTTAGGTATATCTTCTTGAAGTATATCTCCTAACACTTTTTAAAGCAAAGGCTTATAAGTGGTAAATTATATCCTTGTATACCTGAAAATATTTTTACTTTGACTTCACTCATGAATAATAAGCTAGCTATTTTAGCTATTACATATTTCTTTATTTTCCCTTTGCACATGGAAGATATATTTTCATTGCCTTCTGGCATCTACTGCTGCCAATGCAAATTTTGCCGTCAGTTGATTTCTTTCAGCTTCCCTAAACCTAACCAGCCTCTTTCAGCATTTAAGACCCCTCCTCACCTGGCATAATTTTGGGGCAATCCCCCCCCACACACCAAATGTCTTTATGTATGCATTTGTTTTTAGTTAGGTAAGGCAATTGGGGTACATGTCCCATCTTTGAATCTGAATATTTCTTCAATTCTGGAACACCATATTTTGTTTGATGAAATGTGGCTTCTCCACTACTTTTTCAATATCCTACTAGAGTTCCTGACAGATGCATGGCAGTTTATCTTCATACTCCTTCATTTTTTATTGAGTTACAATTCATATACCATAAAATTCATTTTCTGAGGTATACTATTTAGTATCTTTTGGGATATTAATAACATCACTACCACCTAATTCCAGAGCACTTTAATTACCTCTAAAAGAAATGTTCCACTCTTGAGAAGTCTGACCTCATTCTGACCTCACCTCAGCCCCTGACAATCACTAATTTGCTTTCTGTCTCTATGAATTAGCCATTCTGGATATTTTCTAGAAAAGAAATCATTTGACACATGTCTCTGACTTTTTCTGCTGAACAAAATGTTTTCAAGGTTCATCCATGATGTAGAATATATCAGCGTACTTCATCCATTTAAAGAGATATGACATTTTACTTATATATTCATCATTTGATGAAGATTTATGTTGCTTTTATGTTTGGGATACTATGAGTAATAATGCTTCTGTGGACAGTTGTAAACCAAGTTTTATGTGAATATATTTTCATTTCTGTTGGGCATATACCTGGGAGTGAACTTGGGGGGTCACATGGTCACCCTATGTTTAACTTTTTACTGTCAAACTTTGACAAAGTGCTTATGCCATTTTATATCCCTACCAGCAACATGTAAGGCTCCCAATTTCTCTACGTCTTCACCAACACTTCTTATTATCCATTTTTTTATTCTAGCCATCCTAGTGCATTTGAAGTCAGCTCTCACTGTAGTTTTGATTTGCATTTCCCTGATTTACACGATGTCAAGTATCTTGCTATATGCTTATTGGCTGTGTGTAGATCTTCACTGGAGACCTGTCTATTCTAATCCTTCCCTCATCTTTTAGTTGGGTTGCTTGGTTTTTGCTGCTGTTGAAGTTCTTTACATTCCTGGATGTTAACCCTTCATCAGGCATCTGATCTGCTAATACTTTCTCCCATTCCGTGAGTTGCCTTTCATTCTGCTGGTAATGTCCTTTGATGCGCACAAGTTTTTAACCTTGATAAAGTCCAACTTTAGTGCTTCTCTTGTGACCTGTGGAATTTTAGTGCTTTGTGCTTCCCTACTGCCTTCCCTCCCGCTCCCCAAGTTCCTTCTCCTGTCTAGAGTTGTATAATTGTTTCTATGGGTCCCTTAAACTTCCACATCAGAGCCAGGACTTATAATGATAATTTGTGTCTAGAGTCTCCAGAATCATTGGGGATATTGCAGATCCAATTCCGAAGCTAGTGTGGTCTGGTCGAAAACCTGGATCAATGTTTTTCCAACTCTCTAGGCCACCAGCTTCCTGTTGGTACTATTTGGCTGCAGCACCAGGCTGCAGGTCAGCAGTAGTGGTTTTAGCCCTCAGCCCAAGTCCTGTGTTCAGATCTCTCCTGACCGTTTAGCTCCTTCTGCTCTTTCCTGACCCTTCCCACTCAGGATACAGAGCACAGCTGTCTATGGCTCGACTGTTGGTCACAGTTTGTGTGAAAGGATTCCCTTTTATTTCTGGTCCCTAGAGCAGGTTGTCAAATATTAGTCTTTAATTTTTTTAAATTGATTTTTCTATTTTGCCCATCCTTACATGTGTTTGGAGCAAAGGAATGTGTGTTAAAGAATGAACTTCCTAGGCCACTTGGCTGGAATTCACAACAGACGTTTTCACCCCTTAATGCAACAATGATTGATGAATTGATCAGCCTGCAGCTAACGGAGTTGTTTACAATGGATCTGGCCGCGTAGATGGTATTGAAGAAAACAACATCTAAATCTTGAAATCCTGAGCTAGGTCTATTCAACTGATTGTATGATCAAAGGTGTTTAAAAGCTGTTTGTTGTGGTGGTTAAGGATTGTGCCTTCTACAGCTGTGATGGCAATGAAACTCCTCTTAAGCGGGGGCATGAGCAGGCACTGGCGAGGCGAGGGAAGGAGGCCTCAGTGCATTTGAGCAACAGGCAAACGATGAGTGAAGCTCCTGAGGGAGGGGAGGGGAGCTGGCCACTGTAATGGGCAAGGTGGACAGGATCAGCTGGACTGTGTGGTCAATTGTGTCATGTGCTTTGGGAGCCACCCTTCCACTTCTCTAGGCTTTCAAGATGGTCAGAACTCAAAAACCTGAGACACAAGTCTGGGATCAACTCAGACTACCATAGTCAGACTAAGAACAAGGTGGTGTGCCTCTGATCAGAGGCCATGCAAGCCCAACAGGCCAGCCATTGGTGCCCAGCAGAGCAGGTGGGACTCTGTCAACTTGGCACCTCCTTGTGTAAGACCAGGTAGACCTCCACGGTTCCACCTGAATCAGGAATAAAATGAGTCTATGAGGAGCAGATGTCATCCCTTGACTCTGGAATTGCTTGGTATAGAGCTGTTTTCTTCCTAATGCTTTAAAGTCCTAAAAGCATGATGGCCCCAGCAAGGACACCATGACAAGGGCTTCCAGACCCTGTGGGGCCAGGTCCACTCAGTACTAAAAAGCAAGCGAGTATAGTTGAAAGGAATCCAAACTTCAAAATGAGTTTGGATGTTTTCTTTCAACAGCGTCATGTTTCAACCCACTCATGTACCCAACCTTGTAAACACTGGCTGATGCCTGGAGTCAGAAAAGAATAAGATGGTCTCCACTGTGGAAAAAGCAACCTATCAACAGGTAAAGGCATGTATCAGCAAATCCCTATAATGCAATCACCACCTAGATGATCTGGAGAGGACTACAATGAGAAATGAACCAAGAGAAGCCAAGGGAAATTAGTTTCAGGCAGTGACAGAGGCAGGAAATTCAAGGGCTACTCAACAGACACCCAGTGAATACAGATGTTGAACCGGGGTAAAGAAGCTGCAGAAATTGAAGTTGAAAAAGCAAGTAGACGTAGATTATATTTCATTTGCCTAATAATGCTACTAATTATGAAGTGAACTATTATTTCATGCACAAGCAAGAAAAAATAGCTGCTAGTTAAATTATCACAGACCACAGACTGCAAAGTACCCCAACTTCAGAAGGGTTAAAATACAAGGCAATGTGCCTTTCAGAATGGATGCAATATGTTAGTTCCCAAAAGAAGAAATCCAAGACATGAATTAACATCACAAGACAGACAGGTTTTTTTTGGTAAAAATTAATAAAGGCAAGCCAAATATGAATAGCATGTCATATTTTCTTACCAAGGTGGTAAAATATTAAAAATAATGCTCAGCATTAGCAATAGTGGACAATAGTGGAATGGGAAAATTCACACTAAAAGTGTAAATTAACATTACCTTTCTGAAAATCATTTTGTAATAAATGTCAGGAAACTAAATATGTATAAATCCTTAAGTTAATAATCTGTCTCTAGGAATCTATCCCAATGCATTCTTATAGGCTCTTGCATAAGAAGATAACATTACTTATAGCAATAAAAATGTAAGCTACATGAATGGCAAATTATCAATAAGTAAATCATAGTGTAATCACAAAAATATGAACCAATCACTGAAACATTTGTTAAATTTACTGACATGAAGAAACATTTAATGTAAGGGTAAATTTCAAAGGGGAGAAACAAAATTCCACTTAAAGTGTCATTTGAATTTAAACATCAAAGTATTTAGTGAAGACGGAAGGAGAGGTCATTTCGGTTAAGTCTGAGGGAATACCATTATTCTTCAAATTTTTCCTTCCCCAATTTTGTATTATTTAAAAAGTTTTTTAGATGGCCATGTTTACCTTTTATAATCTCTCCTTCTCCCCAAATAGTTATGTGTTTTCCAAGTTCCACTACAATTAAATTGTAGTAGAAAATGTAAGACTATGTCTGGACACAGAGTGACCAATTGGCACCCCTTATATTAACTGGAATCTACAAATGATCATTATCAATGTTTAAAAATTATCTAGTCTGGGTTAGATGGTATCCAGGTCATGAATATTTTCAAATTCCTCAAAAGTAGAAATGAGCTACATCATTAGCTATGATACTGGGTCAGCACTATGCTACATTTACAAGCATTATTTCCCAATCCTCATCAGACAGAGGAGACCCATGAGAAAAACAAAGTTCCAGTAAGATACAGTGTAGATGAGGTGGCAAAGTTTGAACAAGGCAAAACTGAATTATGAATTCATGTCTTTCTCTCCAGATCCACACTTCTTTCCCTACTACAGGTTTCTGTAGCCTATCTAGATGAATGTCCATAAAGAACAAAACTCTATTCTTTCCGTTGGTGAGTAGAAGAGATTGTGAACCAATTATGGAACCCTTTCTGTTGGAACCTCACCCATATCGATGCCAGGCACGTAGCTCTCTGATAGTGAAGCAGAATAGATAAACAAGGGGCCAGATTTTCAGTTTATTAACCACAACACTCGACTCTTGATAACGCAGTCTTCTAGGTTGTGTGTGGTCATTAAGATCATAGCACAATACCATTTACCCACCTGGCAAGGTAAGTCGACTTGTGGAGCTAGTGCTGGGGGCTGGTGAGCCATGAGAACGCTTCTTTGTGCCTGTGAAGAGGAAAAAGAGGATAAGGAAAAGTAGGATGGTGGATACACACCTGAAATATGTTTGATAAATCCAAAAGTTTGGGTCTAATAGAAGGTTGGGTGAGATGACAGGGCAATGCACAGTCTATGGTCCCAAAGAGCCTCCAGTCCAGCTTTGACTTTGAGTGAGTGATTGTGCTTGGTCCCCTGGTTGGCAGGTTAGCATGTACAGACCAATGCACCTGAACAGGGTGCACCTTGGCAGCACTAGGAAAGCTTCCAAAACATGCAATTCCTTAGGGTGTTGCCCCCAAATCTTCTGTTTACATGGTACCGGGGTGGAGCCCAGCTTTAGTATTTTTCTTTTGATACTAGCAATTAAACCCAGCAGTGCTTAACCAATGAACCACATCCACATCATTTTTAGTTTGTTTTTTTTTTTTTTCTTGCGACAGAGTCTCATTGATTGCTTAGGATCTTGCTAAGTTGCTGAAGCTGGCTTTGAATGCCATCCTGCTGCCTCAGCCTCCCAAGCCTCTGGGATTATAGGCATGTGCCCATGCACCCGGCTAGCATTGGTATTTTTAAATCCCCTCAGATGATCCTAATATGCATCCATGGTACAGAACTACTGGCTGAGAAAGGAAAATTCTGGATTTAGAATTGAGGAATTGGGGTTTGGTTCCTGCTTTGTCTCTCTAGCCTCTCCTTGCCATTGGATCTCAAGTCATTATAACCGGATCTCTCTGAGGTTCAGGTCTCCACCCAAAATAAAAGTGAAAGAAGAATAATTACATCCAAGTGTGCTGGTGAAGAACAAAGGAACCAAGGTATGTTAGAGCACTCAGGAACTGTGGGGGACTGCACAAATGCCAGGGAGCAGATTCTCTGAGCACCCCAGTATCTTATCAGGAACACGATTATCTGTGTTCTATAAACAGTTTAATGGGTTCCTGAGGGATTAAAAAGGCAGCCTCCAGAGTAGAATCAGTAAGGACAAATCAGCAAAGGGACAGAGGAAGGGCTGATTGTTTTACAAAAGAACATTTACATTTTACACGTGTGTGTACATAGATAAGTGTACTGGTTTTTGTATACACACATACACATACATATTCATATGTAAATATGTAGGTACACATCGACTCATACGTGCAAATGTATTTTATATACATTTATAAATATCATTCATTCAATCATTCATTCTTTCATTCTTTGATTTTGCCATTCAGAATGAGGAGGAAGAGGCCTGGAAGCCAGAATCCAGCAACCCAGCAGATGCCAGAAGTCTGAGCTAGTAGGAATGCAGAGAGAATCCTTGAGCAGAGAGTAGAGAGTCAGTTATTCCTGTTATGAGTCCCTCAGATTTTAAATGAAGTTTGCTCCATACATGGAGGCCTGGTGTGAGTGGTAGTTGGGTTGATGGAGAAAACTGTCAACAGAGTCACCAGAAAAGGTAACAAGATGACCCACAGGCTGATAGGCATCAAAGGAAGCAGGAATTTGGGGCTGGAGGTAGTGGGTGAGCGGTGAGCTTTCCCTGTACCTGGATTCCTGGTGAGAAGTGGGGGAATGCATTTTGGATGGTGTTTGAAGCTGTTTCATTTTAATCTTAAAGAACAAGGGAACAACCCCAATGTTCTGTGTTATTATTAATTATTAGTATTATTATTGGCAGGAATAGCAGTAGTGTGAAGGATTAATAAAAAATAGAAAATACAAAATCAATCCAATCACCTCAGACTTATAAAAAAAAAATTGATTTGCATGAGGTAAAAAAAAAAAAAAAACTGTATCCGGCAGGATTTCAGTTGTACGTTTCCTAGGTTTCATGGCTGCCCTGAAAGTCAGAGTCATAGGGGGAACTTCAAAGGTCTAACCTGGCTGCACCTGTGCTTCAGAGTCCCTGAAGGCAATTTTTATAACTATGGCTTTCAGAGTTTTCTCCTGGACCCTGAAGAAGAATCTGTAGGAATGGAGTCAGTGTTCTGCCTTTTTGGCAAGTTCCCCAGGTGAATCTAGTCTCATAAGGTGTCTTGGTCACTACAAAATTAAAAAAAAAAAATGTACCTAGGATGACACTGTGGTCCAGTCTAGGCCCACCTCACTGGTGCAGCCCAAAGGGTGTGGTTCACATTGTATTCCACATAAAGCATGGAGGACCACTAGTCAGCCCTGACCAGGGGTGCTACCAGGATGCAAATCCAACCTCCGAACTTCCTGCTCCATCAGAAATGCCTGTGTCCTGATTGATCCACCTCCACTATGGGGACAATAACTATGGCTTTCAGAGTTTTCTCCTGGACTCTGAAGAAGGATACAATATGTTTATCCTTCCTTTTTGTTTGTCTCACAATATTTGGGACATGTTTTTTTCAACAGGGACACTATGACATTTGAGCTGCATGATTCTTTGTGATGGGAGTGTCCTGGGCATTGCAGGAGGTTTTAGAACTATTCCTGGCCTCTACCCACTAGATGTCAGTACCACCTCCCACTGTCACAACAATCAAAAGTATCCTCCGGGCAATGACAAATTTCTTCTGGAGGCAAAATTGCCCTCAGTTGAGAATGCCTCTTCTAGGATGGAGACAGGATTTAGGACTTTTTTATTCAGAGCCATTATTCCCAATGGGTTGCTTGGTCCTTAGTAATAGTCACTGCCAGCTATTAAGAGGTTTCTATGTCCCTGGTACACTATTAACTAGGAACAAGGAAGTGCACATTCTTTCTGAGAATAACATTCTGACAATAAGATTATTCACATTTTATGATATTTGGAGACAAAGGAAGTTTAAGCAATTTGTGCAAAGTTACTGGGTATTGAGGGTGGATAAAATTTAGCCAAGACCCTTCAAAGTTCAAACATACAGAATTTTTTTCCCCATGGCTCTTACTTCCTCTTGGTCTTCCAATACAGCCTCTCCACTTTGTGTAAGGATCAGAAAAACCTGGAACAATGAACAAACGGAGAAAACAAAACCAGGTTCTCTGACCAGACCAAACCCTAGGGAGCCAGCACTTCTGGAGAAGATGCCCCAGGGATATGGATATTTCACATTTGCTCCAGATGGCTCTGAGGTGGCTCTCAGCTGGCTGTGAGGCTCAGGCATCCATTTACCCACTTCACCAGAACTTTCCTTCCTGGTAGAAAATATGGCTTTTGGTGGAGACTCTTCTGGAGAGGTCCAATTTAATCCTGCCTACATGAGTACTTGAAAATTGCAAAGCACTTGGAGACACTGCTTTCAGCAGGGAAATATCTACTGTGACCAGGTTACTTCATAGGAATTTTGGGTGCAATTAAAAAAATAATGATGTACTGTGATCTTCCAAAGCCTGCAGTTTAATAGCTTGCCCTGGAGGCAGGTTTTCACTCCTTTGATGCCTTCTTAGCAGACACCAAGTAAGACAGGGAACTCTTCAGGCCTCGGGGCAGTGAAAAAGCAGAGACATGCCCTATCTTCTATAAACGCTGTTGTTTACCCTGTTTGCTTGATGAAATGTGTGGTCTATCAGGAAGGGTTGAAACCATCCCAACCAGCCTCTCAGAATCATGAGTCATAGGCAGGCAGCAGGCAGGGATGCATAAAATAACCCTCAGACAGCACCTAGGACCACTGGGGGTGGTGAGGTTCTGAGTCAGCCTCCCAGCGGATGCCAGTTTACTGCCTTTGCATTCGCAAAGTCATTTTCCACTCCAGAGCCAACCAATTACCTATCACTCTGCTCAAAAGTTCCACTTGTGGGAATAATACCAATTCAGACTTAAGTTTTGACTTCTAAAACCCTTTGCCTCTCTCTGACTCCCATCCCAGGGAGAACATTAGAAACTGTCAGAAGATCCAGATACAAGTTCAGTTTCTAAACTTTGCTCCATGGTACCACGTAGGTGGACAGCTGGGGACAAAGCATCCCATGGAACTGGCTTTTGGATGTACTGCAGAAGTCCAGGCAGGGATACTGATCCATGAGTGACTGGTTAACCACTCTGTCAGTGGTTTTTAATCCTGGCTACATATAAGGATCATCTGCTGTCATGTGGTGACATTTGAGTGCTTTACCCAGGGATTGGTTTGGTTTGGTTTTTGTCTGGGGTGGGATCAGGGCCTAGGTACTTTGTAAAGTGAATTCCCAGCAAAGATGTTTCTTTCAGCTGTCAGGAGTTCTGTCATCTGAAGAGCTAGGGTGCTTTATCCTCCTACAGAATATGAATTTTGTAAGGAATTTCTTTCCTTTTTTTTTTTAAAGGTTTCCTGGAAGCTCAGATCCAGTTTAGGACTTCATGCTGGGAACTGGGAAACCTTTTATTTAACATGCATGTTCCCAAAGGAACATTTGCCCTGGTTCACTAACTCACTATGCCTCAGTTTTATTCTGATGTTTTTTTTTAAGCAACAGGGATTAAACCCAGGGGTGCTTAACCACTGAGCCACATCTCTAGCCCCTTTTTAAAAAAATATATTATATTTAGAGACAGGGTCTCACTGAGTTGCTTATGGCCTTGCTAAATTGCTTGGGCTGGCTTTGAACTCAGGATCCTCCTGCCTTGGCCTCCCCCAAGCTGCTGGGATTACAGGCACATGGCACTATACCCGACTTTTATTCTGATTTCTTAATTCAAAGAAAAACAATTTTATAATCAATTTATGTGATTTTAGAATTCTCAAATATTTTACAAATGAGGTAGATAATATAAAAACAAACAATTATGTGGATACTGACATAATATTTCATTTTCCTCATTTTTTTTAATTTCTAAAAACTTCAATTTGAGAACATAATGGTGAGGCTCAAGTAAGAAAATACTTGTGTAAACCGTGAAGTGTAACATACTGTTTGTTATTATTCAGTTTATATTCAAAGAAAGTGGTGTGTGTGTGTGCGTGCGTGTGTGTGTGTGTGTGTGTGTGTGTGTGTAGTAGGTAATACATCATCTTTGGTAAATAAACATTTCAAGGTCAAGAATTACATTGTCCTTGACCTAGAGTGAATGTTTAAGGAGTAAACAACCCAATCAG